GTAAATTTGAACCCTGCAAGTCCTGATCTGCCAGCAGGACTGCTCACTCCAGCCCCACTGCCTAATTCCAACAAAAGCTAAACCCTTCTCCTTTCCCTGCAATTTCTAAAGCCATTTTCAGACCTGTTTGGGAGCTTGCACTGCATTCCCCAGAAAGCCTCATTCTGTGGGCAATAAACCTTCTCATACCCTCTTAGCGTGTGTGTAGTGATGCAACAGCCACAACTGAACCACATTTTGAGTGGGATCCATCCTGCCTCTGTGAACTGATCATGGCATAGAATTCAGTGGGGTATACTCAGCTGTAATAATAAGAGATCCCAGAAAGAATTCTAGTTCCTCTTTCATAAAATGAAGATTTAAGTATTTGAAATTCATGACTGTGTCTCTGATTCTTCCTCAATCTGCTTATGTCCAGTTTGTTTTGTCATCCTCAAGATCTGATAGACAATTACCCCTGAGCATTTGACCTAAGCCTCGAACTTCTCTTGTTCAGGGAATAATTCATAAAGCTTCCTTATCTTTCCTGTAACTTTCCACTCCAAGTGTTCGCCTTGACACAGCTGGTAACTCATCTTCTGTGTTGATCTGTCTCTTCAATGGTTTATCTTCTGTCTTCCATTCTCTCATTGCTGGTGTACCTCCCAGAATCACAGGTGATTCTCTGTACCCCACCTCCTTCATCCTGCTCTGAAGAGGTAACTGAGTGCCAGGTTCAAGGCCTGCTCATTTTTCGCCACAGAATGAGTAAATTGGTCATGTGCTGAACTATAGCACCATGCTGAGCTCCATGTGGCTCTGAACTGGACCTAATTTTTTCTTTTTTTCGGACCTAATTTTTGATATGAACCTAGACCTACACAGACGGAGGATTAACAGACTAACTGCAGTGCAGGAGGAAATGCCATTTTCTTCTCTGAACTCTTCCACTAGGGACTTCAGCTTTGTCTCTTTGTATGACTCCTGGAAATAAGCCTAGGCTGTGGGACCGTAAGATGCTTGGTTGCAGTCGTGGAACTGAAACCTTGAAACTGCCTCTCCTACTTTGAAATCTAGCTTTGTCCAGCCCTGATTGCTGTCTCTGGAATAGCAGTCTATGTGCTTTCGATCAGCTGCCATTTCACAACCCTCATCAGCTCATGAACTGTATCTCTTCTGCAGCATGATCTGTGGACCACAGGTGCCAAATGAGATTCCTTCTGTGTGGACCCATATTTTCTATACGTTCCCAGCCTTACATAGAACCTACTTTAGTCAATCTTGACTCCAGTTCTTCCTGTCTTGAAGAGATCTGAGTAAACTTAAGGAATTCCTAGAATCCTGATTAAGATTCATCTCTCAGATCCAGTGATAGGAAGCCATTATCTTTCTTTCACGTCTCTTTGTTGGGTCACCTGGCTGAGTCTTTGCTGGGAAAACTTCAATGCTTGTTTCTTTAGGCCTTTCCCCTCTATGGCCACTCAGAGTTCAAGTTCTGGGAATTCCAGCTTCCTGGAGAGTGAATCCCTGGATTTCAGTGTTCTAAGAACCCAGAGGGAGAAACAATAGAGTTTCAGAATTTATCATTCAGTTTTCATATGTTTATTTAATCCCCCATTTCTGGTTTGTGCTCATCCTTTCAACAGATTTCTCCAAATCTATGCATCTTCTGTTTTCTCTTGGCCATATAACAACCATGTAGTCTTCCTGGGCTAGGGGATGGAATGTCCTATGGAGGGGTGGGATGGAAAAGGGATCTAGGTATCTAGATACTTATTAAACAGCTTTCAATGTATCATCTTTATTTCAATATTCCCTTTACCCCAAGTTACAGAGATATTTGGTCCTATCAGGACCCTAGCCAAATGATGATTTTCAAGTGAGGATTGGGTTGGATCTGTGATCCATATGCTTTCCAGCTTCCAAAAAAATGTTGTTGATATATTCTTCTCCTTTTCACATACTTTGAGGTATGCTTTTTTTTTTAATCTTTTAATTGGAGTTTTAATGTCATTTCCGGATGCGCCAAAATTAGACATATACATTCAATCTCACTGTCTTTACCTGGCCATCTACTTCTTTGACTGCTATTCTTAACTTGTGTCCTCATTTGGAGTCCACAGAAATATCCAAGACTAATATTCCTCATGACCCGAGATTACAATGATCTCAGGGACTTATTTATATATGATGGGGAATATGATGTCTACCTCAAGCCTTACATTGACCTTGGAAGAAGAAACCACCATTTATGATTCCTGTCAAACTTGGAGCTCGTGAGGAAGTTCACAGTTCTGGATTGAAGTACAATCTCAAAATCAGTTGTTAGTTTGGGTGACTCTGGGACCAGCTACAGGGTAGCTGTTATGGATGGAAGATTTGTGTCCTCCCAAAATTCATATATTGAGACCCTAACTCCCAGTGTTATGGTATGTGGCAGTGGGGTCTTTGGGAGGTAATTAGAGTTAGATTAGGTCACAAGGGTGGGCTCCTCATGATGGAATTAGTGGCCTCATAAGAAGAAGAAGAAACAGAAATCTCTCTCCCTCTTTGTGTGCACACGTGGAGGAAAGGCCATGAGAGGCCAGAGGGAGAAGGCAACTCTGTAAGCCAGGAAGAGAGCTCTCACCTGGAACCAAATCTGCTGGCATCCTGATGTTGGACATGTCAGCCTCAAACACTGGGAAAAACAAACTCTGTTCTTTAATCCACCCCATCTGTAGCTTTTTATTATGACTGCCAGCCCTGCCAGTCAAGACAGGAATAATAAAATACATCCTTATGGCATTTCCTAGTGTTTCTAGCTCTTTGGCTGAAATTGCCACGCTAGACTTTAAGAGGTAAGCGCTAAACCATGAGAAGCATCTAGATATTAATTTTAATTAAAACTCATACTCTGAAAGCTGTGTGGGCTTGAGAGAAAAGTAGAGAAATGAAAACCTTTTTGTCCTGACTCTCCAAGCTACTGACATTTTACTGGAGTCATGGGGCTGAATCTTTTTTTCTTTATTAAGTTATAATTGACAAAATTATAAGGTATTTAAAGTGTACAATGTAATAATTTGACATACATATACAGTGTAAAAGGATTCCTCTCATTGACTTAATTAACACCTCCATCACCTCACGTAACTACCTTTTTTTTTTGGTGAGAACACTTAAGTTCTATTCTCTTAGCAAATTTCAATTATACAGTGTTATCAACGAGAGTCACGATGTTATACATCAAATGCTCAGATCTTATTCACCTTATAACTGAAACTTTGTAACCTTTCACCAACCCCTCTTTATTTCTCCCACCCCCCTGGCCCTTGGTAACCGCTTTTATACACTCTGCTTCTATGAGTTAGACTTCCACATATAAGCGAGATAAGGCGGTATCTGTCTTTCTCTGCCTGGCTTATTTCACTGAGCATAGTGCCCTTCAGTTTCATTCATGCTGTCACAAACAACAGGATTTCCTTCCTTTTTAAGGTTGAATGATATTTGAGAAAGAAAAGGAAATCACACTTTCTTTATCCATCTATCTATTGATGGATACTTAGGTTGTTTCCATACCTTAGCTGCTACAAATAATGCTGCAGTGAACGTGGGAGCACAGATATATTTTGAGAAAATGAATTTGTTTCAGTTGGATATATACCCAGAAGAGAAGAAAACCAATCCTAAAATTTATATGGAACCATGAAAGACCCCAAATAGCCAAAGTAATCTTGAGAAAGAAGACAAAGCTGGAGGCACCACACTTCCTGATTTCAAACTATATTACAAAGTTATTGTAACTAAAACAGTATGATATTGACATAAAAACAAATAGATAGATGGAAAAGAAGAGACCCCAGAAATAAACAATGCCTATATGGTCAATTAATTCTTAACAAAGGAGCCAAAAATATACAATAGAAAAGAATAGTCTCTTTAATAAATGGTTTTGGGAAAACTGGACAGCCCCATGCAGAATAATGAAATTAGACTACTATTTTACACTATACACAAAAATTAACCCAAAATGCATTAAAGACTTGAACATAAGACATGAAACTATAAAGAAGAAAACATAAAGAGTAAGCTCCTTGATTGATATGGGTCTTGGTGATATATTTTTTATTTGACAACAACAGCAAAGGAAACAAAAACAAAAATAAATAAGTGGGACTACATCAACCTAAAAAGCTTCTGCGCAGCAGAGGAAACCACCAATAAAAAGAAAAGGAAACTTATGGAATGGGAAAAAATATTTATAAACCACATATCCAATAAGGGGTTAATATCCAAAATATATAAGAAACTCATACAACTTAATAGGAAAAAACCCCCTAAATATCCAAGTTAAAAATATGTGGTGGAGCTAAGCAGACATTTTCCCAAAGAACCCATACAAATGGCCAACAGGTACATGAAAAAGTGCTCAACACCACTAATCATCATGAAAGTGTAAATTAAAACCACAAGAAGGTATCACCTTACACCTGTCAGAATGGCTATTATCAAAAAGACAATAATAACAAGTGTTGAGGATATGGACAAAAGGGAACCCTAGTGCACTGTTGGTGGGAATTTAAATTGGTGTAGCCACTGTGGACAACAGTTAGGACTTTGCTCAAGAAATTAAGAATAAGACTACCATATGATCTAGCAGTCCCACTCATGGGTATCTACACAAAGGAAAGGGGATAAATAATTTTAATGAGGAGCTGATAAAAGTCATCAAGCAAACTCTTTATCTGTGGCAAATATTGACCACTGCACGAATGCTAGGAGAGGGACTTTTGCTACAAAAGGGTGCATATCCAACTATCATACCCTCCTCATGGAGTTGTACTAAAGAGCTGCGTCACCGAAAAGAATGGCTTGAAAGAAATGAGAGGCTGAAACCAGAAGAAAGTGAGTCACAGAGTGAGTGATAATAAAGAGAAACCCATCCAATGTAAACCGTTCTGATAAGCGGTTTAGACTTGACAGGAAACCAGGAAGGGAAGTTGCTTAAATAGGAGGTGAACAGACTAGGGAAGGGTTATTTTTTCCAGGACGAGAAATATGAGTTTGTTTGTAAAAGGAAGAGAAAGAGCCAAGAGTGAAGGGAAGTAGAAGGTAAAATAAGTGGACGTAATTAAGAAAGAAAATTCTCAGAGCGGACGGGAAGGGAGGGGAAAGGATTAGCTTTGAACACAAGTAGGAATAGAGTGAAAAGAGATAAACAGGTTAGCTCGATGTGGAGGGGAGGGAATTTGAAGGAATTCATACCTCGGAGTATTTTCTTCTTCCAACTGGAGACTTAGCTATCTGTTAGGAATTTAGATGAAATAAATTAAAAACAAAACTGTGACAACTGATATGGAATGGGCAAGTGATGTAAGTAAGTTAAATATATTGTAGAGCAGCACTGATGGACAAGCCAAGAGTCTGAACTTTGCAGACCATGCGAGCACTCTGCAGGCTAACCTGAACATTTGTTCACCATTTTTGTGGGTTTGGTGCTGAGCTTCCACTTAGAGTGCTATTTATGATATTTCTAATTTCTAATGATATAAATTAGAAATTTATTTATGAATTTCTAATGATAAATTAGAAATTCAGTGATGAACTAGTATTATGAGGGCGATTGGTTTGGTTAGTATTAAAATCATTATGCAGCGATGTAGTATAATGGAAAGCAAATGGAATTTGAAATAGATAAATCTATGTTTCAACGTTGGCTATGCTGTTTGCAGTGTGATCTTGAGCATGCTACGTACTCTCTGAAGCTCAATCTTTTTGCAAGTATAAAATGAAAGTAATGATGGGATTAAGTGAGATACTGTATTTTATTATATTATTATTATCTTTGTTGTTGCTATAACCTAGTGAAAAATAAGCTTGCATGTGATCTAAATGTAACTCCTCAGTGGAAAAAGTATGAAAGACATATTGTCAGGAGATCACGTGGGTTAGGAAAGATAACTATGAAAAATCGTTCCTTCCCAAGATGGTCAAATCACAAGATCTTCTGACAGTGTGTCTTTCATACTCTTTCTGTTGAGAGGTTAGGTTTATATCCTATGCACTTAGAGGACTTATATTCCATGTCATAGAGGAGATTCAACCTCCACCTTGATCACGGGCACACTCCCTCTGGAGTCCTGACCTGTAACACGAATAGTTCTGCTGGCATGAGGTCACCATGCCATCAGGAAGTTCAGACTCTCCATCTGAAGAGATGTCATGGGAGAGCTATGAGACTATATGAAGAGAGAGATGGATGACCCGCCCCCAAGCTGACCCATTTTCACTTACAATCTCCCTGCAGTTTCATGGGAGACTCTGAGCCACACCTGCCCAGACAAGTTATTTATGGATTCCTAGCAGAAAAAAATCATGAGAAATAATAGCATTATTATTGTTTTATGACACTAAGTATTTGGGAGATTTGTTTTACAGCATTAGTAACTGATAGGATAATGTTTCCATTTATTTCTTAAAAGGTTTCCTCAAAAAATGGGAAGATTACATTTGTTGTCACATTACATTTATTGTCTTCACAAAGAGATATTTAACTTCTCGAGATGACATTATTTTTCTCCTCATATTTATGGCTAGAAACTTATTTTCTTTGATATGCGAGGGTTATGATACTTACTTTTCCCCCTCTTCCTTATTTCCATCTCTTTTGGGAGAAATGGATCGAGTGACAGCAAGAGAAGCATGCATTCCTTTCTGGAGCAGTACGGTTACCAGAATCAGCGTCTTCCTTCAGCATAAGGTTACTTGAAGTTACCTTTATACTTTTATAATGTATTTTCAAAGTATTTCAATATTTCTATCATTTGGAGATGATCTGTAAACCTCATTATTTTGATCTAATTTTCATATGTAGTTGAGTCTTCATGTATTTTGCAGTGTGGTTTCTCTGCATTTTCGTATGGCCAGTGGCCTTTTCACATATGCTAATATAGCTCTTATTTGCAAACTCACCTCCTTCGGTCAAAATTCTTAAAAGCACCTAGTCTCGCTGGTTATTTATTGAGCCAAATTATGATGATGATGATGAGAATGACTGTGATAATGACGTGAATTCTTCTCTCTTTCTTTTCTTCTTTTCCTTGTTCTTGTTTAAGGATTTCAATTTCCTTGTTTTCCAGTTTTGTTCAGTGTTAAAGGAGTTACCTATAATTAAAATATCTTTATTCTTTTTGTATATTGTAAAATCCATAGTCTTAATTAGCCTAAGGAAATATGTATCATCAAGAAACAAAAGAAAACCTAGTTTCTCAGGTGTCCCCTGCTTCCTTACCAAAAGCGGTTGCAGGATGAACTTGTGAAAGGGCTGGAATTCGCCTTTGGCATTCCCAGAGGGTACACCCCTTTTCTTTCTCCCTATCTGGATGTCAGCTCCTCCCCACACCCCTCCCAGGTCTCAGGACCCAAATGTTCTCTTTCCTAAAATCATAGAAAAGCTTCCTCTTAAATCATTAATTCACCCTGAACTGTAAATGACTATTAATGGCAACATTTAATCCCTACATAAATACTTTCTTTTAAATGGCAGAACAGCTAAAGTAATAAAGACCTCATTGTAGATCTACCAGTGGGTGGCAAATGCTTCTGAAGGTGGCACTAGTTCTTTTTAATGGCGCTGAAATAACACTTGTAGGTGGTCACGGGAGAGATGAGTTTGTTTGTTTCAAACACATTTACTGACATTTACTTGTAGAAGATCACTTTTATTCAGATTTGGGTCTACATAGGCTTGTTCAGCTCCAGATAAAAGAGAGAATGCTTCTGATATCTTCACACTATTGCTTTTCAACCTATGGGATTTTCTTAAATACAGGAAATATTCTTCATGCAAGCCATGGCGTAAAATACAGTTTAAGTCCTCAGTGAACCTCTTGGGGCTTCTCTTTGTGAAAGCAGGAAGTCAGCATTAGTATGTAGGACAGGAAGCATGCATTTCTTATACCGTACATAAATTAGGTCATTTTCACTGTAGTCACGTGTCTTAAAGAATATTCTATTTCCAGAGTGTTAGAGAGAACATAAATTACACTGTGGAATCTATTCTCTGTTCTTATGAGTTCTGCTCCTTGAGCATTGCTTCACCCAGATGCTGAATACGTGAAAACAGCACGGTTACAGTATGGTGCACTGTTGCTGGAATCACAGTGGCTGTGATTCTACTTTGTGGACCACTTGGAAGCCAGACATATGTCAGTGGATACAGAATTTTGGTCCTCTTTAGTTAGTTTCATCTATTGATTCAGTTAGTATCAACAATTTTTCCAGGATACTACTGAGGGCAACATGATTATTTTTTCATGTTTAATTCCAGCCCATGTGGTAAGACAGTTGCCGATAACTTGGTGTTTACTGGCAGAATGTATCTCCTTGTTTATTACATTCTATTGCAAGCATTTTGCCATTGTGCTTGGTATATTATTTGAACAATATTTGTAACAATATTTGTTACATAAATATTACTCTGTCATCGAATACAGGGATCGGAATCCGCATTCCGCCATTCCGAGTTGTGTGGCATCCCTCAGAGTGCTCATCTGAAAAATGGTGGTGAGGATAATAGTTTCCACCCATTAGGGTGGATTGGAAGTTACTATAGGGAAAGCACTTTTAAAAAGTGCCAGCATATTAATAGTAAATGTTGCCTTTAGTCACTCATTTTGCCCAGAGATAGCTCCTACCCTCCTGGCCATCCCAGCAGAATGTAACAGAGCGGTGGTTCTTACCTTGGCTTTGTGCAGAAAAACTTGGAAGGCTATAAAAAATACTGATGCCTGGGTTCGCACAATGAGTGTGTTTGACTTAATTGGTTTGGGGTAGAGATTTATAAAGGCACCCCAACTGTATCTTAAAGTGCAGCCCCAGCTGAAGAAATACTGGACTCGATGTGGTAAATAAAGGCATTTCTACCACTAAATCTTATGGCTTTTCCTCCAAATGTCTGGAAATCGGCAATAATTTATGAAAATCACTCTGCTTAGGTTCACAATTCCTTTTATGCTAGATGAAATCCAGATATTGATAGATAGTATCTTTATAATCTTAACACTGTTAAGGCCTGGATTAACGTCTCTTTTGCCCAGGGTGTGTGAGCTATTAAATCTGCTGTTGTAGGGCCATCTTTGTGAGACGTGAACACCCTAATGATGAATTTTACACACGTATATTCTCTAGAAGTGATGATTGCGTCTTTTCAAACTTCCTTTTTAGGAAGTACTTCTTTGATTTGGTATCAGGGAACAGAATGGCTAATACTCTGAATAGACATATGTTTTGCTGTAGGAATTCCTTAAGCATGATGTCGGCAACTGACAAGATGAAAAATGGTCCTGTGATTCATTTCCAGTCTCAGGCTTATAGACCCACTTAAATGTTTTGAAAGGCCCTCCCACATCCTGTGATTGTACTAAATCAGAACTGGAAAGATCTCAACACTCTGAACTTGATCCAAGGGTTAAGATAGCATACTCTTTATTTTCTTTTTCATAACACACTTAATGCTATAAAAATAAAGTTTATGAAGAAGTATTAAGTATGCTTAACACGCTCATTTGAGCTTCAAACCTGTTATACTCCGTTATAAATTAACTCCTCAAGTAAAAAAAAGATGACGTATACCCCACACATGCCCTTAAATATCAAGCACATGGGATGAAAAAATATATCCTTGGATTCTTGGAACCATTTGCAATTCCAGACCATTTTGGGCCAGTCATTAACATCTTCTGTGCTTTGATGCCTTGTGAAGTTATTCTCAAGCAACGCTCTGTGACTCGGAGTCAGGGGACCAGGCCAGTGGAACTTCTCAGTGTGAAGTGCTTCTATGGCATAGAGAGGTCTCTATTGTCCTTCAATATGGACTTGGAGAGCAACACCGAGAAAAGTCAGATGGGAAACTCATGTCAATCCCATTCAGAAAACATGACTCTTTCCTTAGATTCAACATAAGCTTTATATCAAGAAAGAATGCAAGGTCACTAAAGAACAACAATCTCACTTGAAATGTATAAACAATAGTGTAAGGGCCCACAAAAACTGTTCAACTGAAACATTAGCTAGCTCTTCTTAGCGAAAAGGGGGTAGCCTTGACATTTGCAGATAGCTGACTGTCCTATATTCAAATATCAGATTTTATTTTTAGACAGAGATTTATGACTGTAATATTCATTATGCTTTTATTCATCCCACAAATATGGATAGAGTCCCTACCAGGTGTCAAGCATCATGATAGGAGTTGGGACCTAGTAGAAACAAGACTAGTGCTTGTGTTTCATCATGGAGTCTATCAGGGGCATAGAGAAGCTTCATATATATATATATACACACACGTGTATGTGTATAGCAATACAGCCCTTATGGGCAGGTCCACCCAAATCTGGAGGAATACAGATACGCATATAGAACTTAATATATGTGAGATGCTATTCTAAATGTCTACACAGAGTAGCTCATTTCATCTTACAACAATCTGTGAGGTGGACTGTGTTAATAGCCTTCTTTGACATTTCAGAGAAACGAAGCCCAGGGAGGTTAAGCCACTTGCCTAGGATCACCCAGCTAACAACTGTCAGAGCTGAGGTTCTCTTCTTTCCAGATAGTCTGGCTCCTGTTTTATATTTTGAGCTATATTATGGGCCAGGATTGCAATGATTAAACACTCATTAATTTTTTTAAGAGAAAGAACATTAGTTCAAGTAATTCTAATACAATAATCCTTTGGTGTTCATTATCTGAGGCAAAAGTACAAGTTAAGGAGAGAAAAGAACAGCAAGAAAACTTGAAGGAGAATCAACAGAGGGAAGACAGAAAGTGCTACCTTACATGCTATGCCTTAACACTCAAAATATCTTTAGAAACATTAGTTTTATATTTTCAAATAAAAAAACGAATAGTCATTGTGGAAAATTTGTAAGCATAGAAATGTAAAAAGAAAAAAGTCATCGATCTCACTATCCAAAGAGAACATCTGACTTATGTCTCTATTCCTTTTCTGTGTGTATGTTTACAAACATAATTATGATAATGCGATAGTGATTATGAACCAAATTTGTATCCTATTTATTGCATCTATTACCATAATGTGAACATATCTCATGGCATAAAAATTTTTTCCTAAACCTTATTTTCAAAAGCAGCTTCCCATTTCACCTCTTGAGAAGAGCATTCTCTTCCATACCATTCATTGACACCAGTGTTACTGGAACATGATATTTACCTGAGCCAGACTGGTGGTTTGGGAGTTATGTCCTTTTTATCTTTAACACGTAGGGCAGGATGGTCTGGAAAAACTTAACTTATTGCTCAGCAATTATATAAACTATCTGTACCCAGAGAGGAGTCCAAATCTCTCCAAATAAGTGACCACTCTCTTAGAGAGGTAATCTTCTCAATGGGGGCGGGTGAATATTTATTCTTTGTAATATTACGACGCTACTTCCCAGTGATGGAACCCAGTGTCAGCTCCTGAACAAATGAGATCAATGTGTTAAATCACAAGTTCTTCTGATTCCCAGGACATGTCACCCTAAATCTTCATGTTCATTTATTTCACCAGCATTTCATACCCCAGCGCATGATTTATTTGGTATGATTCCAATGTATTGTTGGAGAAAATAATAAAGGATGCACTGTATATAATTATCTGGGAGACTAGGCCTTTGACAGGGGAACTACTCATTTAAAGGTGGGTGGCAAAGGCTGTCAGTCACCAGGGAATGTCTGAAAGCATTGGCTTGGTCCTAAATG